GCACGCTCTTGGAATGGAACCGCCATCAGGTGCTAGAGCACATCCTGAAGAGTGACCAGCTTACGGCCGCCAGCGAGGACGTCGAAGCTCCCGCGGGTGAGTTTCCGGGCCTGCGAGGCATTTGAGAGGGTCGCCGGGAGTTGCTCATGCGCCAGTGAGTTTTTCTTACTAGGGGGCTGCACCTCGCCGTACGCCAGGAGGATGTGCTCATGTGGGTGGGTGCCTCGGTGTACGCCTAGGAGTTTTGCATGATCACTTTCTAGCTTAACTCATCACTTGGCACTCTATGCCCATGGGTTCCTGGGCACGGCCATTGGCACTCGCATATCCCTCAAAGTTGCTAGGTTGCCAGATGGAAAGCTGCCAAAGCAGGCAGAGAGGAGAGGGCGGGGGGGGGGGGGGCGGGGGGTCCTGGTAGCTTTGGCCAAGGCTTGTCCGGTACTTGGCGGTCGCTTTTCTAGTTGGCTGACGAGATGTAGCATTTTTTCCTTCGATGCAAGCTGGTGCGCAGTTTTTGCGCACCGGCCTTCATGCCAAAGGTACGCTGCTTGTGCCTCTCGGGGGACCGCTTGTGCGGCGCGGAGACTCCCCGGTTCCCTTCATCGCAGGTTGTCAACCCCGAGAAAGCGTGGTTTCCCATCGGATCCAGTTTCAAGCCGCGGAGAACCCGGCATCCGTTCGAAGACAAGTGCAGGACGCCGCCTGCGCAATCCTGGCTTCCGTGCGATGGCCTCTGCTGTCCTTGGCGACGCTGGAGGCCCTCGAGGCGGGTCTGGTTGCTTTTGTTGCAAGAGCTGTTGATTTCCCAACCCACCCAGCCAACCAACCCACCCATGTGAAACTGACTAAGAGGCCCCTGTCCTTTGGCACACCGGGAAAGAGCCACGCGTTTGTTCGGCAAGGCCGTCCCTGCCAACGGCGCCTTTTCGCAGACCGTGGCGGAGCGCTGCAAGGGCGTGGCTTGCTGCGAGTTTGTCTGCTGCAATTTCGAGTGACACTACTTTGGCTGGACTCCTATGCGCTGTTGAGAGCAGCATCGAGGGAATGAAATTGAGAAGCATTCCAAGTGAAACCTCACAACGAAGTCTGAGGGGGGGTGGAAAAACTGATTTGTTGGCACCCAACGCCCCGTTTTCAGAGACTTTGCTTCAGGCGAAGGCTGCGCACCAGGGGCTGGAACCGGTGCACGTGCGCCAGGAAGGGCCGAGGGGGGGTTGGACCGGTGTGAATTGTTGGAACCTTTGGCGGGTGTACTCATCCACTAGGAGGAATGAAGGGCAAGGAACGAAAGGCAGGGTAGTAGACAGCAGCTCATTTCAATTTAGAGGGCAACTGTCATTTGTTTTTTGGGAATTGAGCCGCAATAGGCAAGTCATGCCATTGGAAGCTGGCAGGGGGGGGAGCGTGAATGATGATCCTTGACGGAGTCATCTAATTCATCCAGTTGTGCAGGCCGCAGCTGGGTCGAATTTCAGTTTCAGAAAGCTCAATGCTCCCTGCAAATCTGTTTCTCCCCCGCGTACATTTGCCGGCTCTAGATTTGCCGCAGTTTCCCTGTGTTGCAGTTGGGCTATCGAATCACATTTTTCCGTTCACTATGAAGCGCTTTGGAATGTAAATCCAAGAAGCACAGAGAGATCCGAGCATCAATGACAATTGTCGAATCGCAGGCCAGGATGCTTGCTTCCCTTCCCCCCCCCCCCCTGGCGCGGAAAGTCGTTGACCAAGAATCCAAAGGGCTCGTTTGGCCCAGGGCTACAGCGGCTGGTGGGCTGCGAGCTAAGGTCGTGCCAGCGGCCAGGGAATCCGTCATGGGAATGTCCCTAAGGTCAAAGGAATTCACCAAATCGTTGGGGTGACTGAGAGTCTCCCTAGGACATGCTTTAGGAGCAAATCGTTAGCATGTGGATTGCTGTCAGGGGGCCACGAAGGCGTTTCACACACACACAAGAACGCACACACACACACACACACACACACACACACACACACACACACACACACACACACACACACACACACACACACACACACACACACACACACACACACACACACACACACACACACACACACACACACACACACACACACACACACACACACACACACACAAACACACACACACACACACACACACACACACACACACACACACACACACACACACACACACACACACACACACACACACACACACACACACACACACACACACACACACACACACACACACACACACACACACACACACACACACACACACACACACACACACACACACACACACACACACACACACACACACACACACACACACACACACACACACACACACACACACACACACACACACACACACACACACACACACACACACACACACACACACACACACACACACACACACACACACACACACACACACACACACACACACACCACACACACACACACAACACACACACACACACACACACACACACACACACACACACACACACACACACACACACACACACACACACACAACACACACACACACACACACACACACACACACACACACACACACACACACACACACACACACACACACACACACACACACACACACACACACACACACACACACACACACACACACACACACACACACACACACACACACACACACACACACACACACACACACACACACACACACACACACACACACACACACACACACACACACACACACACACACACACACACACACACACACACACACACACACACACACACACACACACACACACACACACACACACACACACACACACACACACACACACACACACACACACACACACACACACACACACACACACACACACACACACACACACACACACACACACACACACACACACACACACACACACACACACACACACACACACACACACACACAACACACACACACACAACACACACACACACACACACACACACACACACACACACACACACACACACACACACACACACACACACACACACACACACACACACACACACACACACACACACACACACACACACACACACACACACACACACACAAACACACACACACACACACACACACACACACACACACACACACACACACACACACACACACACACACACACACACACACACACACACACACACACACACACACAGGAGCTTGCCAGTTGCTCATGCGGGTGAACTTTCCTCACGATTCTGCTTTGCTTCAAACACGCGCAGGCCATGTCTTGAACACCTGCTCTGGGTGATTTTGCACAGCGGAATCCACCGTTTGTGGCTTTGTTCTTTTGTCCTTGCCGAATAAGATGATCGAGTCTCAGCTAGCATTCGCCATAGCATTTTCCAAACAGAAATGTTATTTCCAAACAGAAAGGACATGTAGATCCTTATGATAGTCCGTGTGGTTGACCCCGTACGAAACATGCACCGAGGTGGGCGTGATGTGTTTTCCCAGGCGTGCCATCTCGCTTTCAGCAACGATGCAGTTGCAGATCAAAGATCAAATCTCCAACTAGCAAAAAGTGCCACACTCAAAACCAACACAAGGTGTGAAGGCGTGGGTCTGAGCCACCCGATGCTCGGCTTGGGGCCCCCGTCCCTCAGTGCCCGAGGCGGGCCTGGGCTGTGCTGCAAAGGGCGGCGCTGGGGCTCTCAGAGCAGAGCTGCCGTCTTTTTCTGTTCTTTATAGTTCAACCGACTTATTTGGACAGGGCCTGTCCTTTTCAAGATGCGATGGGCGGTGCTCTCATGTTTCAGCCAAGCTTTCCAAGGATCCGATAGCAGTTTTTGCAAACTCATTCGTCTGTTTGAAGTATGGGAGCAACACATATGTATTCACAGTGGTCGAAGCTTCCAATTATTTTTTGTGGTTTGTTCAGTTGACTTCCCCTTGGGGCTTTCGATTCATCGATCCACATGACGAAAGGCAAGGTCGATGCGGGCCTGAGGCAGTGATTGCGGGCCAGGGTGCGCCCAAGGCACTGGAAAGGGACGGGTGAAGCTCGTGTGGTTTGTGTTGGATTTTGGTCAACAAACTGCAGGTGGCCTTGCTGATCAATGATCGCCTTTTGCTTTGCTTGGAACGGCAGTGCCTCGCGGGTATGGCTTTCAGACCCCTGTATCTATGATCCAACTCTTTGTGATTTGCCAACATTGCTCAAAGCAGCAGGTGTAGTAGGTGTGTCACCTTGCACTTGGTTGCCCTCTGTCTGCCAAGGGTTTCGCATCAGGGTTTATTTGCATGACCTCTGACCTTGGGTGCAAGCAGCCACCAATCCAATCTAGCAATGCTGAAAGTCGATCCAAACAGAATCTACCTGATTTGAAAAAAGAACACTTTGAAGTGATCCCAAAACAACATTCCCATCGTGCGCAGCAAAAGCTGCCACCCATCCCAACCAGCAATTCAACTTAGTCCACTACACGTTCTGAACAAACCCAGGACTCATCCGGTCCAAAGTCGTCCCGGGGAGCTGCTCCATTCCGCTCGACCGATCTCCAGTTTGGAATCTTTCCGATCGGACCCATGAGTTTCGGAGGCGAACGGGTCGCCACCGATCCAATCGGCGTAAGGCGGAGGTGCTGAAGGTGCAGGCGGTGCGGCCCCACGAGGGCACGCTGCTGCTGCTGGATGCGAGCCAGGCCTGACTCTTGCGTGCCGTTTTTTGTGGAGGGCGAAGGAGTGCTTGCAGGTCTTCCCCGCTTGTTTTTGCGAATATCGGCCATGCATCACGGATGCTTTCCTCACCTCCCAGACCTACGACTATTGATTTCCTAATTCAACTATGGGATTCCACCCAGTTTCCTTCTCGTGTTTGTGGGGCTGCTATCTTTCACAGAGGCGTGTGACGTGTTTGGAGGTTGGGCCATCACAGTGCGTTGCACGTACCGCGTCGGATGCTGTACAGGAGCCTGGCCGCGTAGTGCAGTGGTTCCTCCGCATGGGCAGCGGTCGCTGCGTCGCTGGGAAGGCAGGTGCGAGGGCAAGCGAACGCTGCCCTGCCGTGGCCACAACAGAAGACCTGGGTGACTAAAGATTAGGATGAGAAGGGGATTAGTCCGAAATAGGCACGCCGCACGCTTTGTGGATTCTTGGGTGGGCGGACAGCTTTACTCACCTCACTGTCTGACAGGACAGCGAGCTGCAAGGTGCCAACAGCTTTGAGGCCGGGCTGAGACGCGCTGCAGCTTTGGGCACCGTTGCGAGCTGCGCGTTTGGGTCTATGCGGGTTGACTTCTTCGGCACCCTAAAGCCGGCAAGGTTCACTAGATTGAGATGGGTGTGCGATCAGGCTCTCGCATCAGCCTATGAAACTCGTCACTCCCATCATTCCCCCAGATGTCCCTGCGAAGTCAGGAGATGGCCGACATCTGGAGCGGCCCAGATGACGCCTACTACATCGTGGATCGCGACGCTGAGCGGGTCGTTCAGGCGCGTCACGGCAAACTTTGGTGCTTCGCAAAGTTCTGGCTTTGCAGATTCGGGGGTACATGTGGTTGAGCATGTTTACAAGCATTTCTGAAGGGCAATAGCTTCTCAACACAATTTGCCAGAAGACTGCCGAAGTGCAAGTGCATGTTTGACGCATGTGTGAGTCGATCTTGAGGGGCGCATCCTGCTTTGAAGCCCGCCCTAAAGCAGGCATTTGGCAGGGTCCCTAGTTTGGCACATACCCACAAAGGCAGGCAGTTGAGCCTGCGTTCTTGGTGATAGCAGTTGTGTGCTCCAAGGAAGCCGCCATGCCGGTAGAGCTGTGTGATTTGATGCTCCGCGCTGTGATGTGATGTGATTACATTTGACGCTCTGTGCTGTGCTGTGACGCGATGTGATGTGATGTGAGGCGTGGCGAGGTGCGGTGAGGTGAGGCTAGGTCGGGTGAAGTGCTGTCCGGTGATGTTTTGATGTGCTGTGCTGTGCTGTGCTGGTGCTGTGCTGTGATTTGCTGTGATGCGAGGTGTGGTGAGGCGAGTTATTCTGTGCTGTCCTGTGATGCGCTATGCTGTCATGTGATGTGATGTGCTGTGAAGTGAGGTGAGTTGTGCTGATGTGAGGTGAGGCGAGGCGAGGTGATGATGTGTGGTGCTGTGGTAGCAACACCAAAACACTTGAGTTGCTGAACCCTAGGAGCTTTACACATCACCTTTGCTGCTCAATATCGCACTGAACAGCCTGCAGCATTGCCAGTGAACCCGGGTTGGCCTTGGAAGTGGGAATCAAGAATGAGTCTATCGTGGGGAAGGCCATGACGTGCAAGCTATTGGATTGGATTTGTTTCGTTTGTTTGTTTCTTTGGGCGTCAACGTGATGCCTTCCAGAAGCGCATTTCCAGGTTGTCAAAGCCGAACAACTCGGTGAACGTGTAACCCTTTTCTTTAGTTAGTGAAATCGAAGGATCAACAAGGGACGCCATATTTCCCCATTTCCGCTCGTTCGCTGCGAGCAACGAGGTGCGCCATGGAGAGGCTGTGGAGGTCAGCAAGGCAGGGAGAGAGCCCCCGTGTTTTTTTTGTTATTTTTGTGCCAGCACTTTCTGCTGGGAAGACTTCTACACTTTGCGGTTGACATAGAGCTTTTGCACTTGTATGTTGGGTGAACTTGCATATTGGCGTGGTGGATTCACTGGGCGTGGGTTTTTGTGAGAGAGGAGTCCGCAATTGTAGTCAATCCCAGACTGCCACCAAAGTCCATCTCCATCGACTGTCTTGCAAATGCAGCCATTTTCAGAAGCACACTCCGTAGTTGCAATGGCCTCAATGCCTTGCCTGGGCAACGTCAGCCCAAAAGACCCAAGCAGCCCAAATCTGTAGTTTTGACATGGTTTTGGGTAGACTCCTTTGATCGGGTTATGGTCCAGACTCAAAGCCTGCGTTCTCACCCTTGGCCAACGCATGTATGGTTTCGACGACCAACATCTCCAACCCAACTAGAAAGGTCGCCGAATCAACTGAAGTGAGGGCAGACTCGAGACTCCTTTTTGCTCATCGAGGGAGCGCCCCGTGCGCAAGGACGCCCCCTGCTCCCAGGAAAGGTCTGTGATGTGAACGGTCACTTTGTGGGCCCTCCCAAACACTGCGTTGCAGGAACACACACACGCAGACACAGGCGATGTCGAAACCACCAATCTACATTTGAGTTCTGTGAACCTTGAACTTCCATCCGGCCTCGAATGGGTATGGGTCAAAATTGAACCACCAGGGGACCACAGGTTTTAGTCATTGTCATTGTGGGCACCTATTGTTGACCCACAGCCAATCATTGAGATGAAGTGTTGCCCAATGTAAGAAACATGCTGGTCCGATTCGTTTCGTTTCGAGGGCACCATCCGCCTGGAGCGGCCCTGCGCTGTGGCGGTGGAGGGCCCCGACCGGGCCGTGTACGTCCTGGATCGCGAAGGCGGGAATGGCAAGCGCGCGATCCAGGAGTTGTTGGTTAGAGGAAAAAGGAGGAAGTGGAGGAGGAGTGGGATGTATAGTCCAGAGCAGAAAAGAGGGAGTAGGAGAAATAGAAGGAACAGAAGGAGTAGAAGACGACAAAGTGTAGCAGCGGCGGCGGTAGTGGCAGCAGTCGCTGTAGCGGTACTGGAAGTGTTGGTAGATGTAGTTGTTGAAGTAGATGTACGAGTAGGCATCTTAGTATTAGGTTCAGCAAGCAGGAGTAGTAGTAGTGGTCGCAGACATAGTAGAGCTAGAAGTAAATACCATAGAAGTGAAGAAGAAGAAGAAGCAGAAGAAGAAGAATAATAAGAAGACGATGCAAAAGATGAAGAACAATAATATTCGGAAGACGCAAAAGGAAGAAGAAGAAGACAACAAGAAGAGCCGGCAGAGTCGTAGGAGTAGCAGTGGCAAAAGCAGCAGCAGCAGCAGCAGCAGCAGCAGCAGCAGCAGCAGCAGCAGCAGCAGCAGCAGCAGCAGCAGCAGCAGCAGCAGCAGCAGCAGCAGCAGCGCAGCAGCCGCAGCCGCAGCCGCAGCAGCAGCCGTGGCAGCGACAGCCTGCAACGTATGTATACTTGGTATTGTTTGTGTGTCAACAGGCTAGTCACTGACTGGACCTCGTGCCATCCTATAATCCACACAGATCCAGGTCAGGTCATTCCTCCAACAAACCAACACCATCGGAGTTCCCGGCGCGCTCTTGTTGTATGACCCACTTCGCATGACGGAAATCCGTGAGGCCTTCGCCTTCTTTTGTTTCTTTCAATCTCAAGAGCACCAACCCTATCAGACCTATGAGTGACACCTATGAGTGACACCTATGAGTGACACCAATGAGTGACACCTATGAGTGACACCTATGAGTGAAACCTATGAGCGACACCTATGAGTGACACCTATGAGTGGCACCCATGTCAGCGACACCTATGAGTGACACCTATGAGTGACACCTATGAGTGACACCTATGAGTGACACCTATGAGTAACATCTATGAGTGACACGTATGTCAGCGACACTTATGAGTTACACCTATGAGTGACACCTATGAGTGACAGCTATGTCAGCGACACCTATGAGTGACACCTATGAGTGACACCTATGAGTGACACCTATGAGTGCCACCTATGAGTGACACCTATGAGTGACACCTATGAGTGACAGCTATGTCAGCGACACCGATGAGTGACACCTATGAGTGACACCTATGTCAGCGACACCTATGAGTGACACCTATGAGTGACACATGAGTGGCACGTATGTCAGCGACACCTATGAGTAACACCTATGAGTGACACCTATGAGTGACACCTATGAGTGCCACCTATGAGTGACACCTATGAGTGACACCTATGAGTGACACCTATGTCAGCGACACTTATGAGTGACACCTATGAGTGACACCTATGAGTGACACCTATGAGTGACACCTATGAGTGACACCTATGAGTGACACCTATGTCAGCGACTGAGTGACACCTATGAGTGACACCTATGAGTGACACCTATGAGTGACACCTATGAGTGACACCTAT